GTACACACTTTTCACACTGGATATATTCGTCAGCAAGGTCCGTTTGACAATATGGGCATCATTTGTTGTTGGTGTAGTCGCCTAGACCATCGCGGTGACGAGCCTGCTCGTCACAAGTCACACTTTGTCACCCAGTTTGATTTCCTATTTTAGTTTCCACTTCCTTTTCTAGTTGCTATTTCCTACCTTAGTTTCCATTCCCTATCTTTCCTGACTTTGTTGCTCATTTTCCATTTGATTTTAGTTTCTATTTCATTTAGCCCTTATTTATCTAGTCTATAAAAGCCTGTCCATAGCTAGTAGTTAGCATCATCCTCCCCAGTGCTTCCCCTCCCAGTCTTTCCCTTCTGAGTTTGAGTTCTCTTTTGAGTTCTTGAGTTCTTGGTGTTGAGTTTCCTGAGGAGTTTGTTAGCTCTGAAGGCACTTGCACACTTAGTCCTTGTTTGTCTTTTGGCAAGCAAGCACGTCAGCGGCGAATGAGGGTGTCGACCTAGAGTGGTATTAAGCGATGCTAGAGAAGATTTGGATTGTCCTGAGTAGTTATTATAAGATTTTTCAATTTGAGATTGTTACCACTCACTGAGCTATCATAACGCTTCCGCTTCAGCAAGTTAGGATCATCGGGGATGTCCCAGGACAACGTTGAGATTGAATCCGCCATTGCAGGGTCGACAGCCCCAAACTCTCCTTCGCCAGGAGTCCAAGCCGTAAACTGGTCCGCTTCTGGTTGGCATATTGCCGCTGACGTCTCTGGTGGGCGTTGGGAGGCCTCTAAGTTGACAAAGCGACCACACAATCAGACCCCGTCGGCGCTGAGGTCATAGCCATGGTCGGCCTCAAAGTGCTCGTCGTCTTCCTCGCCGATGTAGAAGTCGTCCCGCCGTCCCCCACGTCTAGACACAAGCCGTCAGCCACAAACCAGAAGAAAGGACACTGGCAGAGGGCGCTCACCTGGCTCACAAAACGCGCAAGGCTTGGCCAAGCCTCGCAGGCGAGACCAAGCCACAAGCATGATGCCACCTTGATGCCTGATGCCCAATGTGACTGCATGGAATATTCTAGACCCGGTTGCTAGCCGCATTCACCGAGTACCCTCAGCACCAGTGCTCTCATCCGTCTTAAAGCTCCAGGCGTGGCAAGCGAAATCTGGCTTTGCTGTTGCCTGTACTGGATGGCTAGGCCTTTCCTTTCCCCCCCTCAATCTCAGTAGGCCCGGAAGTTCTTCAGCTCCAGTACAAATCCTGAAGTAACTCATGGGGAAAGTTAATGGATTTGCAGGCTAAGGGTTTCCGCTATCTAAGATCTGCAAATCATCCGCTGGCTCGCCTATGCTCGTCTGTGAAAATATGATTTCAAATGCCAATAGAATCAGCGACTATTGCCTCCGCATCAACTGGTCAGGACTGGGGCGAAATTGTGACAGCGAAAAGAACAAACTCACTAGAGTTGACGCGAAGGAAACATCTTGTCTATTGCCGCTCGACGACCTCGCCTGCTGTAGTAGCAAACAGCTCAGGATCGACTGCTTGGTACGCTTGTGCATGAAAGCGTGGCACTTCCAGACAAAAGGACAAGGGCCGGGGAATGCTAACACACAAGATACGTGCAGCTTTGAGTTGAGAGAGCCATTGGCAGCTAATGTTGTAGGTTATCATAGCCAAACTTGAAGGTAGCACCAGTCGATCTCCATTGCTTATGGCCCAACGCTCTCCGAGCTGCAAATCCCCAGCTAGGAAAAGGGTCAGTACTTGCTGTCCCTTCTGTCGGTCACTCACCGGAAGCAGACATTATTTCGAGTGGACAAGGTTGAAGGTGACGGGTTGAGTGAAAGATGAAGAGGCTCCTGGTCATGCACTGAATATTACCGATGAATCATGATGGAATGATAACAACAGCGAGGGCACCGGCGTGGACGATATGGAGGTGCATGATGACGCAGACAAAATTGTCGCTGCTGACTCCAGGCCGAAGACAAAAGCCAAGAGCAAGGCCCCGGCCAAATCGAAAGCCAAGGCCAGTTCGGATGGAATCACTTTGACTTCTGCTTCAAGCTCTTCTTCAACAACCCAAGTCGGCACCGTCCCTGGGGGCACAGTCAATGCGGGTCCTGTTGTAGCGACTTCTACTTCGACAACCCAAGTTAGCGCCTCCGCTGTCCCTGGCAGCAAGTCCTTGACTCTTTGTGAATTGTGAAGACTATCAACAGGTGACAGATCTGTGATTTACGAAGATCTATGATTTTCACCAATGGCAGATCCGTGATTTTGGATGACAGAGTCTTTGCGAGGAAAGATTTCTTGAACTAAGTCGATGCTGGGTGAGACTTGTGAAGAATCTGCGCAAGTAGAGTTGTCAAAAATTTGCTGCTTGACACTTTGACTCTTTGGGACTTGGGCGAAGAATCTTCGCCGAAGATTATTAACAGGTGACAGTGTGTGATCGATTCACAAATGGCATATCTGTGATGTTGGATGACAGAGGTCTTGGCGAACGAGAACTCAGACACTGAGTAGGAGAAGAATTTGCGCAAGTAGAGTACCTGAGTCCATTAATTGTGCGATAAGAGTCTATCATGAGTTGTTGCGAGTTTGAGCGTGTACAAAGCTCCTTACATAGCCAGTCTATCCTATCCTGATTTGTGGTGGGTAGGGGCAGGGCACAGGGCATGGGCGTGGGCGGGCGTGGGCGGGTGTGGGCAAGGGGAGCACGTTTGATGCACTGATAACCTCGGAAGGGCGGGACGACGACGTGAGGAATGGAATCACGGGATTAGTCTTGCTGGCCAGGATTGGGAATCACGGCCCCACGGGATAAGCATTAGCAGGCGGGTGGCGGGGCGGGAATGGCGGTATTGTCGATAGAGACGGGAATGATAGCTTAGTCTTTGGCATTGTTGGCAGGAGGGGGCAACGGTGGATCAGTCGTGGGCGGGATTCGATGACTGAGCAATGACGTGGTGCCGGGCGGTGCTGATGGAGTAGGCTTGGCGAACAGCGGCCAAAGCCCAGAGGACAAAAATGGTCCCAATGATGGCAGTATCGATGCTGACAAAGCCGATGCTAAATCATATTTCGCAAGGGGAGGAGTGAAGGCAGCTTCTGGTTAGCAAGGGCTTTTTTGAAATCACATCCACTGGCTCCAACCAGGCTATTTTTTAAATATCTACAGGTACGGTGATAAGCTGCAGTCTGGGACAGACCAGGAAACGACTATTTTTGTTGATTTCGTTGCTCAGCGCACGTCTCAGAGTTGACATGAGTCCCGAATGGTCAACTAGGGAGATATCTGTCAAAGAACCAGTCAAAATCTATCAAATCGTGCTCAGTGATTCCAAAGTCTTGACTAGGAAAAGTTTGCAGAGCCTGTCTCTTGCTAGGATCTATCCAATCCTATGCAAAATACCCAAAGGGAATGTAAACTAAAAGGCATATTCGGTTTGGTGCTCACTGGAGGCTCGAGATCGACTTCTCCTAGATAAGGGACACCCCTATCTCTGTTGGCATCGACGACTGACATCATTGGAACGTGGTTTCGGATCATGCTGGAGGATCGAGAGTGCCAAGGGACGGTTAAACGGCGAAAACCTACTCAATTGATTGGGGCCTGGACCTGTGATCAACGGCGACTCTAAAACACTGTCGAGGAACAGATCATCTGAACATTGGAAATGCGCCAGGAGAGTTGGGACAACCACCGCTGAGGCCATATGCACAAGATACGAGTTATGGGTGTCAATCGAAAGCTGGGAAGCAGAGCTATCCACTTATCCTAATCAAGATCGAGGGATACTTCACAAGCAAAGCTAGATGGTCGCGAACACGGAAGATTTGCACAGGTCATTGACACCAATATATGCGATACCAGTCATCTGGACCTGGCTTTTTGACTCTGGGCCGTATGGCGAAACGATACCTATACAACTATGCACATGGACTACTTTTCTTACTCATGATTTTCCCTGATTCTATCAATTTCTGTTTAGTATTTATATCTCTGTTTTGTATTTGGCAGGTTCACGGATTGCCCCGCTTTACTAGGTGTATCTGGTGATCTAGCTCGTCAATCTATCTTGCTAGCTCTTTTGAAATAGTATCATCGTGTCGGAAGGATTATTGGTTGAGGGTCCTGGGTTTCGGTTGCTGAATACAAGAGTTCTGGTTGCTGTTTATTGGGTTTTGGTTGCTGGTCGAGAGTTTAAGGCAGTTAGTTCCTGACTTGAGACAACTCAGAGGGTTTAAGGCAGTTAGTCCTGATCCAACGAGTATAAACTCTCCAGGCATTGTATTCGCGCTTCTCTATTGCGGAGTTTCGTCGATAGTACGCTTTGGGGCACACAAAATCAATGTTTTTCGCAAGAAACTCGTATCTACCCTACAACCTTACACATCTGTGCCAAGGCTTGACAATTTTTGGGTTTTGTGACTTTTCCTACTCGACATTATACATCTTTCTCTCTACAAAAAGTGGAGTTTGGTTGTTTTTGTTGGTTAGGTTGGTTAAAGAGCACATTTGCTGTCCGCACTCTGCACTCATCAACGGCTCACTAAACAACGCACACTAACACTAATTTCACAATAAAATATTCATTGTTGTAATGAATTTATGATCATACTGTGAATCGTGATGGCATTAGCATCATCAAGTGTCATATCTGTGATGTGCCGCTTCCAGGTCTTCTGGCACAGGACTGAGTCCTACTCCCCATTCCTCTTCAAAGCTGGGGTGTAGCCCCAGCCCTGTCTAGTAAACATTTAAACATTTGTCCTTTACAGTATTAGAGAGATATCGGAAAGAAATAAAGGGCACAAATACTTGATTCGTGGTTTCCTCCTCACCTGAATGGATATTCACGGATATACTGGTAACAAATTTGATCTAAAAATTTGATCTAAGTTCTTGCTGGCACGAGTTGATACAGATTGATCGTAGTGATCGCGGATCTTCTACTTATGTGAGTTACCTAAATCCGACTCCCACGTCAATAAACTTTCCTCTGGACGATGACGACGACACCAGCTGCGTTTCCGAACGAGCTCCTCTTGAAGATTTTTGCTGACCTGCCGCCCTCGGATGTGCATAGCGTTGCGCTCTGCTCCCAATTACTCCGCGCGTTGGCCTGCGAGTTTGTGTTCGCTACTTTTCACTTCACGCCGTACGCCTTCGACAGCGAGACGCGCGTCCTGCGAGGCCCCACAGGATACCAAAAAGAAGACCTTCTGGATAAGCTTGCGTTCTTCGCGTCGGAGAGCATAGCCCCACATGTCACCTCTATTGTGCTCAACCGACTGCAGCGCAAGCCGGGCCTCGCGGACCCACCTTACAAGCGCAGTCCATTCGAGTCACCGTTCGCTGGTGACGAGGCGACACACGCCCTCCTCCTGCCCTTCTTCGCTACCCTCGACGCATTCCGCAAGGTGCACACCCTCCGCGTGGAACGGGTCACGTTCACCGCGCTGGCGGTCGAGGCGCTCGCCCAGCTACGCGGTCTCCACACATTCACCGCCATCACGTGTCTGCTCGCGGTCCCAGCGCTTCCGAAGCTGCGCGCCGTCGAGCTCGCCATCCTCAATTGCAGCGAGCTGCACCGCTGGCTTGCGCTGTTCACCCCCCACGTTGTTGGTTGGCGTCAAGCTGACTGGCACGCGGTTCACGGACATCACTCTCACTGCGCTGCCTGTCTTCCCGCACGTAACGACTCTTGCCTTGCCACTCGACTGCCGGCCGCGGCAGTCGGTCCTTCCCCAGCTGAACACCGCTTTCCCCGCGGTGGAGTCACTCGTTGTGGACGGCTACGGCGGGTCAGGGTGGCCTGCACCGGCTGCAGACCCGGCAATGCTCCCCCGGCTGTCAAAGCTCGACATACATGACGCTGGTGCTGCCCCGTTCCTTGCGGCAGCAGCCGGCCCGGTCACACAGCTCACGGTGCGCTGGTCCCAAGCCCTAGCACTGCGCAATTCGCTCGCCGCGGTCCCACCCGCGCAGCTAGCCACTGTCACAAGCCTGGAGCTGCAACTCGAAAACTGCAAACGCCCGACGTTCGCCGCGCTGTGCGGGTGCTTCCCTGCATTGGAGGACTTCAAGGCTGCTTTGCATGTATCGCATAAAGACCATACCCACGCAGACACAGAGGCGGTGCGTGATGTTTTTTTTCTTTTCCTCCGGGGCCTGAAGTGATGACTAAGCAACGTAGATTCTCGCTCTCGTTGCTGCCATTCCTGATTTCCTTCCGCGCGGCCTGCGCCGGCTCCGCCTTTATTACATGGACTCAGAGGCTGACGAGCCTGCTGAGAACTTTGTCGTTCCGGACCCGCGGACCCTATTTACACAGCTCCGCACGCGCTGTGCTGCGTTGAGCGCTGTCGAGCTCATGGTGCCATTCTTGGCGCTGGAGTGGGATGGGGTGGTGGAGCCCAACGGACTGAGCCAGCATGCGTAGAAGTGGGACGAACGGCCATTCAACATTTTTTTAACGAAATCAAACACAAGACCAAAAAGACACAAATCACATTCATACTGATCTTGGAAGGGGGGTCGTGGTCGTGTGTGTGGCAGAGCTCGGTAAGAATTTACAGACACGCAAACTTGAACTGGACATCGCACTTTAATCTCGCGGTTGGCGCAGAGTCATTCCAACGCATTCGAAGCCTTGATTCTACCTTGAGTGAAAATGAGCAATCACTTATGATTATACACGCCCGCTTCGTTCAATGCTATCCATTCCGCTGCGCTCCGGGCACGTATGTAAGTACAATCCATAAAACCACTGTCTACAACTCTCATGCTAGGCGACTACAAGCGACGGCGAACGATGCGCATGCTGCGTGCGACTTTCCTGCGACGAGTTGTCAGAAGAGAAGAGCAAATAGAGAGAGGAAGGCTTACTTGGCCGCACCGGCGCCGTCGGCGGTGTTCTTGCCCTCGGTCTTGCCAGCCTCGCCAGCCTTGGCTCCAGCGGCGCCTTCTTTGTCAGCAGCGGCACCCTCTTTGGCTCCAGCGGCAGCGCCCTCCTTTGCTCCAGCAGCAGCGCCCTCTTTGCCTTCAGCAGCACCGGCCTCACCAGCTTTGCCGGCCTCACCAGCTTTGCCGGCTTCACCTTCCTTGCCAGCTTCACCAGCAGCTTCACCAGCCTTGCCCGCCTCGCCTTCCTTGCCTTCGGCGCCGTTGGCCTCGCCAGCTTTTCCTGCCTCGCCTTCACCGGCTTTGCCAGCCTCGCCCTCACCAGCCTTGCCAGCAGCTTCACCTTCCTTGGCACCAGCACCAGCAGCCTCACCAGCTTTTCCGGCCTCACCAGCAGCTTCGCCAGCCTTTCCGGCCTCGCCAGCAGCCTCGCCGTTGTTTGCCGCATTGTTGGCTTCACCAGCACCCGCACCCGCAGCGAGACACTTGCCCGCGAGCTGCACCGCCTGGTCGACGAGGCCCTGGGCGCGCTGGACACGTGCCGCGTTCTGGTTCGCCTGCTGCTGTTGTCGGTTCGCGGCGGTGTTGCGGTTGCCGCCCTTCGCGGCCTTGCCTTTGGCAGCCTTGCCCTTCTTGCCCTTGGCGCCCTTCTTGCCGCCGCGTCCGCCCGGGCCGCGGGCCTCTTTCTCGGTGGTCTTGGCCGCGCTGAGAAAGCGTTAGATGGGGAGGTTGAAAGGAAACGGGGAGGACAAACCCTTTGTTTGCTGCACCTTCCTTGGCTTCGCTGGGACGGGTGTCAGTTGTGGGAAGAGAGAGACGGGGAGGAGACGAACCCGGCTTCTTTGCCTGCTTCACCGGCTTTGGCACCTTCCTTGGCTTCACCAGCTTTGGCACCGGCGGCTTCACCAGCCTTTGCGGCCTCACCGGCCTTGGCACCGGCAGCCTCGCCAGCCTTAGCGCCAGCAGCCTCGCCGGCCTTGGCTCCAGCAGCTTCACCGGCCTTACCGGCCTCGCCTTTAGCCGCTTCACCGGCCTTTGCACCAGCGGCCTCACCGGCTTTAGCACCCTCGGCAGCGCCTTCCTTGGCTCCGGCGGCTTCTCCGGCCTTGCCGGCTTCACCTGCTTTGGCACCAGCAGCCTCACCAGCCTTGGCGCCGGCAGCCTCGCCCGCGTTGCCCTTGTTCTGGTTGTTGTTCTGGCCGGCCGCGCCTCTGTGTCAAGTCAGCAACCCGCAGTGAACCTAAGATAGAACACGCACTCAACGACGATGGCGCCTACTGCAGTCTTGGCCTTGCCCAGCGCAGCGTTGACCGCACCGGCATTCTCACCGGCGGCGAGCGCGTCGAGGAGGGATAGCTGCGCGTCGAAAATGGGGCGGGCATCCTTGATGCCTGCGTTGGTGTTGCTGGGGTGGGTTAGTGCCGAGGAAAGAAGGGAAAAAAAGGGACGGACATGAAGTTGAGTCGTGTGAGTTCACGTTGGGCGTTATTGACCGTGCTCCTGAAGCGCACGCAGTCGGCGGAAGCAGCCCCACCGGCAGCAGCACCGGCCTTTCCTGCCTCACCGGCGGCGGCTCCGGCGGCTTCACCGGCGGCAGCTCCGGCCTTCTCCCCAGCAGCACCGGTAGCGCCAGCCTTCTCCCCAGCAGCGCCCACGGCGGCCTTGCCTTCCTCTTGGCGGAGGTGGAGCGGGCCTGCCTGGTATCTCAGTATGGACAGACGGAAAACACGAGAGACGAGCGCACCAGCCAAAACGGAGGTCCCCAGCACGAGTGTCGACAGAAGTGCGAGTCTCATTGCAGTTGTGTGTGGTTAACGGTTGATTGTAGTCGAAGAGGGAGTGTGTGGAACTAAAGTGGGAGCGCAAGCGCGGCGAACGACGTCGAAAGAGAGAGAAGAACAAAAAAGAACGACGCTAGGTCGTTGTGAGTGTGTGTGAAAGGGGGGGCGAAGGCAAGGGATGTGGAGTGCGCCGCCGGGCTTTTATGCGCTGGGGCGCTCGGTTGCAGTCTGTGTTCGGTTGGGGATGTTGGCGAGGGGCCCTGACGCAACGTCTTCTCCCGATCTGATGGCTGGCGACGACCTGGGCTTGGCGCTGCTCGTTGGTGGGTGTGATTTGGGGAGTATCTCTGCGTGGATTCGCGGGCTCGCTCAGGGTACGGAGCGGTCGGCAGGTTACGCCATCTACCCGGCCAACCGCGCGCGTACATGCTTAGACTGGACTATGCAGCGCTCGGGTTCGCTGAGAACCCCCATAATTGCTCCGTAATGCGCTCGGCTTGGCGCGTACGTACGTACACTCCACCAATACCATCGCCATCGCGAACTGATCATCCGTGCATCTATGATTAGACGCAGACGCACCAACACAGATCTCTGTGTTGGCCTGTGTTGGCGCTGCTGGCTTCTCGCCGCCCACCCGCACCCGCACGCCTGGGCTTACTGCGAAGGACACCACAAGCGACGTCCGTCACCGTTGTCCGTCACGACGGCCCCTCGCTAATCGCGCACCCCCAAATTACCCACTTTGCGCGATTATTGCCGCCGTCGCCGTCGTGGGCGCCAAGCCCTGATCGGTATCCTTTCTTCCGATCTGTTCTGTTCTATTTTGATTCGGGTGCAGATCGTCGCTCAACGCTCCCGTATACAATACGAGTGCACGCGTGTTTTGTCCGCACGGGTCTGCCTCGGAAGGTAGAGTCAGCATGCGTGCAGTGCCAACGCAACGGCCGATCGCGCGCCGGCGCCGGCGCTGCCTGTCATTCGTCGTCGTGGGCGGCCACTTGCGATTGGGGGCCGGAACTCTCCGAACTTAAGTGGCGAATCCAGGACTCAGCACGGGATTACATATAAGAATTGATTCTCTAGCATGCTACACATTAGTAGTGGCCAAATATGATTATATTATTATGTATTATAATCATATCATATATATTTGGAGCTCCAACGCAATAATATATTTGTAATATAGTATAATCATATTCAGCTGCAAAATATGAAGATGTTATGAATATATTCAACTATAATCTAGTATGTATATCTCTGGATATATTTGACATATTTGCTACTAGAAAAAAAAAAGCATGAGATATATGCTTGACTGTCTGGGCAACTTCCTTTGGGCCTCTCCAATTGCAGCCTTGGACCCATACTAGGACTCTCAAAATACAATCAAAGGCATCACTCCCAAAGTGATCACTCTTGAAACTTATTCCTACCAGAAGTAATGAATGGTTTATGGGATCACTATATATAATAGATAATATGACATTTACTGTTGTATTTTATTCAATTTGAATGCCAAAAGTGGTGTGACATTCAATACGAAAATATCAATTCGAATTATTTCCTAATTAGGAAACTCTTGGCGCCGGAGGCGCCCGGAAATGTCATAAATTGCCTTTTTGGGAGAGGATTTTGAGCAAAATGGTGTGACATACGAAAAAATTTCGAATTTTATAGCTACTGTGACACGTGACATACGAACTGAATAAAATGCTACAGTATCAGAAGTAGGGCTACATCAGACTAATATTAGTAAATACATAGACTAGGAAATACTTAGCTGTGATCATCCACCCTACTATATTTTGAATATTCTATGACTATAATATAGTATAGTCATAACATAACATGATATATCCAACTTGAAACATAATCATATTCAAGTGATCAACCAAGGTTAAGTATCATATCATTCTGTATATATTCAATGCTTAATCAACCATAATATAATTCTGGCCAGCACTACTCAAACTATGTCATTTATATACTATTGTCTCAGTCAGCGCCATTAGATGCAAGCGCGATGGATCCGGCTGTGCGGTTGAAGGCGTCGTATCGCCGTTTATCGATATTTCAACCGGGATCCGCATCCAAATCGTACATTCAGGGCCCGGCACATTTACCGCTGTGTCGCGCCGTTGATGGAATTTGAATTGCGGTCCGACTCACCGTGGAGCTGGAGCGCGCCGCCACCGCGGATCAAGCGCGTCGATCATTCCGCACGCGCGCGGTGACGGGTGGGTGTGGTTGGTGTGGAGTTTTGTGAGCGGGGCACCCTCAGGATGAGGCCTAGGTGGGTCAAGACGGAAAACCGCTGGCTGGACAGCGTAAGTATGCCAACGTTAGCCCAGGAGCTGGTTATTCCTTATCTCCTCTACTGGTTATCCGGATCATGCCGGGCGTTTTGATTCGCCGAGGAAGCCGACGACGCGAACACAAGTGCAACTACTTCCGCGCATCTAAAGCAGGGTTTGACACTTCAGCCAAGTGTTGATTATTGGCAGGCGTGGAAGAAGCTGAACCTGTAACTGTCTTGATATGCCGCCTGCATAGAAATCAGCGAAGTTTACTATAAGCTGTGTCACATGTACAAAGACGAGAAGCATATTGTATACAGGTTTACCCCGATACGCAGGTCTAACGCAGGGCTGAACGACGGTGACCGTGTCCAGCGACAGAAAAGTTCCTGGCTGCCTCCAGGCAACCATAAGTTCCTCTTCCACATCAAAATGGCCAGCTAAGTAGGCGACGGTTGAAGCAGACAACATGTCCGTGCCCAGTGCGCGACGAATGCTTCGCGACGCGACGCGTATATAAGCCTTCCACAAGCTTCAGGCAGACCCCAGCGTTGACCGCCTCACCACCTCTAGTCTTGACGACCACACCATGCAGTTCCTCCCGCTCCTCTCCGCGTTCCTTCTTCTCCCCGCTGCGCTCGCCGGGCCGGTCCGCATCCGTGTTGCGCAAGAGCCGACTGCTACCGACCTCGCCGTCGGACCACCGCCAGACGGTCCAGACCTCAACTTCCAAATCACCGACCCCGCCGCGCCACCGCCAACGGGGAACGGGCCCAGCGGCGAGGGCCGCGTCGCTGATGTCGTTAACGATGTCAACCGCACTGGCCAGGGCAATGCAGACGGTGAATTTCAACAGGGCGGTGTGGACACTTCTGGAAAGGAGAAGGCGACAGAGCCGGATCCTGCGCCTGCGCCACCACCAGTCGGCGATGGTCGCGACAAGAGCACCGTGCCAGACCGCGAGGGAACCAAGACGATCGAGGCAATCACCAATGGCGAGGACGACGCTAACAGACCAAAGTAAGTCCGAACTTCAGAGTCAATACAGATCGCTGACGCAATACACAGGAAGGCGCCAGTCCAGCGCCGGTGGCTGTCCCGTTTGGACTATGTGTAGGGGCCGGTGGTACGGGATTCGGTGGTATGGTGGAATTGGGAAACTTGTATGTTGTTTGGATAAATTATTGAAAGCGGATGTGTTGCGTCTCGTTCAATCTCAATCTGGGAACAAACTATAAGCCGTCAAGGTATATTTCAAGCGACTTCCAACTTAATCTAAATCAACGACTCTGAACAGTGTCGAGCGAGCGTAACGTCACGCGTACGATCCATACCGGCCGAAGCATACCATTTTAGCTCGAAGAACGGCGCGCAGATTTCGACATTTTGCAGTGCGAGACAGCGGGCAAGAAGCTGCGCCTGTAGCGTGTGAGCGTCCGGGACAGCAAAGTACTCCGCGGGTTTCTCGTCCTCCGCGTCCAAGTAATATACGCACAGACAGCGCAGCCCACGCGGGAGGTACGCCGGGAGATCCGTCACAAGCGCGAGAATCTGCATCACTCGTCAGCGACTGATTAGAAACCAAGCAAAGGCGGACCGATTCCGTGTCCCCTGGACGAGGGTACGGCAGCGAGGCTCCCAGGTCCGTCACAAGGGATTCCAGCCGTTGGAAACGGTCGCATAGCGCGGCCAGGATAGCGCTGGTACAGTCGTCCAACCGTACATGTAATGCACGGATCGTCGTAAGGCGGGCGGGGTTAAGGGGAACAAGCAACATGAAAAGCTCATGCGCTCCTTCCCCGCGAATCAAATCGTGGATATACGCCACGGAAAGAAGAGCCACAACGCCTGTCGCGTCCACATCGAGTTTTTTGAGGCGAGGGAGAAAGGAAACCACGGGTGTAGGAAGAGCATGAGACGGCGGGCCGCCATACTAGCTCTCCGCGCTGAAGTCTTCCACCGCGGGAAATGCAGCATAAAGCAGGGGAAGCCGCTGAAATCGAGTGGCAGGTTTATACGGGGAGCCCGGCAAGCTGACTGTGGCTGAAGGAGCTAACTAACATCTTGATGCTTTGAGCTACCCTGGGAGCCAGTAACGCGAGCCAGAGCTCGGGGGAGCTGCAAATTTTGATGTCAAGCTTGACGACATGAAGCTTCAATGGCATTGTGGCGAGTTGAAAACAAGAAGTCGTAAGCCAGGGAGCGGAAAAGGTAGGAGGAGAGGGCGACACTGTAGAGCTCGGATGGCAACAGGTGGCTAAAGATGCCAAGGAGCAGCTCGTTGGGGAGCGCAGCTGGCCGCTGGCGCCGTCATCATGGTGCAGAAGCAAGTGAGAAGTCCTTATGTAATGGATTGAAACGATGATGTAATGCTGATTGCCACGTCACATCGTCTTTTTTTACCCTTCATGCCGTCCAAGAGGTTGATGGCTGGAAGTGTTTACAGCATGTGCCATTGCGGCCCAAGGCAGGCTACTCTCAACACCCCACCACGATGACATCCAACTCATGCATCAAAGCTCGTGCAATCATGAATTTGAAGATGATGTGTGTGTATGTAGTCATTTGGTGGTCATTCGTGAGTGATTATACGTGCTAGGCATTACTGATAACATATACCGATACTATGTCCGTCAAAGGAAACCCGTGATATGGTCCATGAGAAAAAAACCCAATGATTAGTCCATGAAATTCCCCTCCACCGTCCGCCTACTCAGGCGCGGAACAGCACACGCCGTGGGACGCGAGGCGGAGCTTTCCTGGGAAGCGGTCAGCACCACGCGTCAGATGAACAACAGAGAACTTACTTCGCCCGGTCAGCATCGCTGGGGTCGTTCTTGATTGCATCGTCTGTCTTGTGGCCCTCTCGGTCACTTGGCGGCGGCGCACTGTTGCCGCCGTCACTGCTCTTGTTCTCGCCGCCAGGAACGGGGGCTTTCCTGCGCATCGTGTCAGTACTGCAAGCATATTGGAAGCGGAGAAACACCCACTTGGCGCGGTCCGCGTCGCTCGGGTCGTTTTTGATGGCGTCGTCGGTCTTGTGGCCCTCGCGGTCGGGCACGCCGCTCTTGTCGCGTCCAGTGCCCTCTTTGCCCTTCTCGCCATCGCCCTCCGGGCCTTTCTCGTTGGGCTGACTCTTGTCTTGTCCTGTACGGTTCTGGTCCTCCGGCGTGGAATCGGCCTCTTTGTTCTGGCCAGTTCTGTTCTGGTCTTCGACTGGGGGATTCGCCGAAGGCGGCGCGGGTACGTTCTGTGCAGCTTCACCGCCCTCACCGCCCGGGCCGGTCTTCTCAACAGGCCCGGGTAGCAGCGCGCCAAAGTCTGGGAACTTGATCCCGAAGACTTCACGCAGTGGGACGAGTGAAGGTGGCGTGCCGAGGTCGGCCACGCCCTCGTCAGCGCGTCGCAGGTATGCTGGTGCTGGCAGAAGTCCAGCCTGGGCGATGGGCAACTCAAGGAGCAAGAGTGCGGAGAAGAGGATTGTTAGAATCATCAGTCGTTAACGTTATGTGGGTCGTGAAGTGTTGCGTAAAAGAGGAAACTGTAGGAAGTCGGCTGAAAATTCATCGTATATGGGCGGGCTTATATATGCTTCTAGAACAACCGTGGTCGCCAGGTCTACTGTTTTCGCCTCGCTTCCGCCGTGCGTTTGTGCACTGCCGCACGGCAAAAATTAGTCCGAAAGCCATTGTTTCTTGTCGCCCTTACTAAAGTTTACTGTTTCCGAGGCAGTCCGGACAGCCCAACGCTACAGTCGTGCGGCACCGCGCACAACGAACTGATGATCGGATCTCCCGGAACTTGCGCAGCGGCAACTCAATAGTGATCGGATCGTCCGGATCTCGGTCGCGGTCACGCCCTGCGTGAGTTGCGCTTGCGATCGCATCGCGGGCACAACAGCACCGCCTTTTCGGATCATAAGCTCAAATGCGGCGTCTTGGGCCGCACGGAACCGGTGCCGAAACTTCACGCTGCGGCAGCAGCAGGTTACAACGTGGGCTTGGCGGGAATAGCCAGTGGATGGCGCGTTGACGCGTTACGCCACAGGACGTCCATTGATTTCTCTATACTACTGGCGGTCAGTTGCTTCTGCTTCCTTGCAGCCGACGGCGCATCTGATGCGCCGCTCCACCGTGCTCCACTCTGCTCCCTTCTGTATGCCATTCGCATAAGCCGATGACCCTGAACTACTTGCCAGGCGGATCCTGAGTCATTCGCGGCGGTGTGTCGCCGCTGGGATTAATAATTACTCAGCTAAGCAAGGGTTCAAGGGTTCGAGATGAATCCGGCCAAAATCCGGCGACCTCGTCGCATTACTTAGGTTACACTGAATCATACATACATGGAGCATTTATGGTAATGAGAAGGCTTTTTTTTAAAAAAACCCGTGTACAGGTGGAGCATTATACTTATTACTTGGGTTACAAATCATACATGGAGCATTATACTGTAGTAATTTATTCAGCTCGGCGGTCACGCGTCACACCGGCCCTCCGACGCCGAAATATTTCGGCGTGTCACGGGCCCACAGCCGGATGCCGAATGTCGAACAACCATCAGTCAAAGAATAGTGGTGACTACTATCCACATGATAGATAGGAACATAGAACAATGGACATAGTGTATCAGATCCCTTCTCATATCGGCTCTCAGCGAGTTGCCGTCTGTGTGTAGCATCCCGGGCCACTGGTGTATAGGCAGCGTCATTCCATGTACTGCCCTGTCCCATGCGTACGCGCGCCGTAGTTATACCCGTCCTGCGTGACACGTGCCTCGGCCGTCAGACTCCACTTCTCGTCCGCCCGCATGCGGTGCTCGAGGATGATGAACGCGACGAGCACGTGCAGCTGGAAGTCGGCGGGGACGCCGTCGAGCACGAGCGCCACGCCGCTGAGCGGTGCCTCGGGGTCGGCTAGCCGCCAGCGCGCGAGCGGCTTCGCATCTGACGGGTCCCCTTCGTGGAAGAGCTGTGTGGGCATCATCACGGGAAGGTTCGAGTTGACAAGGACTCGGAAAACACACTGCAACGCGGTGCTCGACGTGGGTGCAGATGAAACAGCGCAGCCCCGTGTTTGTCTCGAGGATGTGTCCTGAGCTGATCACGGTCAAACGGCGAGGCAAAGCAAGAAATCGGATGCACTCACCGGCCGCCCGGCGTCTGCGGTTTGGCGTCGCGCATCCACTTGCCCATCCGAACCGCCTCTAGCTTTCCGTCCGGGCCGGCAAACGACACGCTGTCCGGGAGCAGCAGACGCCGCGTGATCTTTGCTGCGATGGCGCCCGTCTGGGCGTGCGTGATAGTCGTGCAGTCGAGCGAGTTCGTCGTGATTGTGTAGAGCGCAGAGACGGTCGCGGACACCATGCTATTTGGGTAGAAGGTTAAAATGGTTGGTTTGGCATCGACGAGGGTGATTTGGGACTCCATGGTGTAAAGGCCGCGTTGCTGCGAAAGTCCGGGGGGTGTTTATAAGGCGAAAGCGCAGTTAACAGCTGTGGTACCGGATTTGGAAGTTCTGGAGTAGACGTCCGGTCTGGAAGCGATGATGCCCCGGTTCATTGAGTTGCATTAACAGCATGCATTATAGGCGCAGATCTGAATGGCTCTTCCGCGTCTCAACGCATCCTCGAGCTGTCTCAGTGGTCAGTCATCGATAGACAAGTTGAGACAGCCGCCGCAATCGTCAATGCAACCGTGCTGCCAGTGGACTTGACGGTGGTAGTGAGTTCCCCCTCGCGTACGCCGACAAAGCGACGAACAGTGTTGTGCCATGGCCCCCCATTCTCGCAGTCGCTGGCCCCGTGGGTGGCGGCAAAAAGCAAAAGAGAGCGATGACGTGGGTGTGACGTGGGTATCGATCTTCGGTCCCGGTGATCCGGCATGGCCTGGCGCCCGCGTTGGCCGTAGCCCGCGTTGAACACGGCCAACACGGGGAGGAAAGAGCAAAATATACACTGCGGGAGTTCGGAATAAACTGGGTCCGTTTCGATCAATTATATGCCTAAAATCCACGTACCAAAAAAGAAAAAAAAAACCTCTATTTGCACCAAAAATGTTCATTTATATGCACTTATATGATAAATATCAGGGCCCTGGAGCATACAGGTGAATCTTTTTTTCCGGTGTAAATGGAGATAGGGGAAAAAAATCCTTTTTTGGCACATTAATTTTAGGCATATAATTGATCAAAACAGGTGCCATTTATTCCTGAACTCCCACAGTGTTACGCTCCTGCGAGATTTTGTCGGAAAATCATGGTATAATACACCTCAACTCCTATCACTGCAAGAGAGTAACTCCTAAGTATAAAAATGGGAAATGACTTTTGATAGGAAAATTGGCACCTGTGAGGCCCATATATCATTGTATACTATGAGGTCCAGCCCAGCAGATTGGACCTGATTGTCAGGGGAACCTCCCCTTTTCCCCCTTGGAGATGTCTCCAATTCCGGTCCGATTCTGCCTCTGATTCCAGTCCGGCCCTCCATCTTGCCCACACAATCACTATCTGTCAACTCAAAGTCCAGGGCAATAATGTAGAGGTCAACTTCAGCCTTCTGTCAGGGCTGGACGCAGATTTTATCCTGGCTGATTTACTGCTGAGAGTCATTGATATTGCAAAGACTGAGTTTGTGTAAGGGCAACCCCGGAGGCCCGAGATCAGAGTCTAGCAGGGGAGGATCCAAAGCGTGAACATTGGTAAGCAAATACAAATAAAGCTGACCTAGCAGGGGAGGATCCAAAGAGAAGAAACTCTAAGGGTCCGCCTGCTAGGGAGCTGACTATATACTGCTTGTCCGTAGCTGCCGCTGTTGGGCACAGAAGGCTTGGGCGGTGTCGCAGGCAAGGTCCCAGGGCGACCGTTGGGAGGGCGTTGACAGATCGGTGATTGTGCGGGCGAGATGGAGGGTCGGACCGGAGTGGGAACCGGAATCGGACCGGAATCGGAAATGTCTCTGAGGGGCTGAAAGGGAGGTTCCCCTGACAGTTTGAAGATGTTGCCACTGCTGCTAGTAGCCTGCTACAGAGCTAGTACTTCTGGCTGAAGGCTTGCTGGTATATTTGAATATAATCAATTATGGCCAGGGGATAATATATTATATTCATCATATATTCATATTCATAATCACTCATATTCAATGGGTCTGAATATGCAGAGGGCATAATATAATCATATTTATTCAAATATATTCAAAATATATTCTAGCATAATATAATTGTGGACAACACTATCTTATATATGTGGCTGTCACAAACAACACCAATTCAGAGGATGCCAGTTGGCCAGTGAAGGCAAGCAAGAAGCACTGTGAAAGGATATCGTAAAGATGATGGAATTCGAAGACTGGGGTACAAGACGAAATCTACTCTACTTATATACACTACTACCATGTGTTTACCATGCCTAATACAAGAGGCAATGACGTCATACTTTAGCCATGCCTTTACATGCTGTTTGCCTCATGTCCAACTCCACGCTGTCAATCAACATCAGCATCGACATCTGATGATCCAATCACCATCTTATCGTCCATCTTATCTCCTCCTTGTCTTATCTTATCAACCAGGGCCAAAATAAAAGGTTTAAAGGGCGAAGAAAAAGGGTTTTTAAACCCAGGGTTTGACAGTGGCACTGGAAATTCACCAGCTAGAAGCTGATCGGTGACATGCTGCAGCAGCGGTCTGCTCAGTCTGCACAGCACAGTAAGGTGGCTGTATGATGGTGTCTTCAAAATGTTCCATAGGCACCGGACAGCACAGAAATTTACAAAAAAAACGGCATAAGTAGCCAAGAAATGAGTATTTCACACATAAATAGATATAGATACAAGCAACAAACACCTCCAATGATTTACAACTAGTCCTCGTAGCGAGAATCAAGAGCCAAGCAGATGACGCAAGAAAGATGTTCAGAATCTATCCTCGGGTGACACAGCGAGCTACTGCTTTAATACAAGTGTGTACAGACCCGGAAGCACAAGCAACTACTAACCAAACTGTGGAACTTGATGAGCTTAATCATCAATCACAAGCTGATTAAAGACAAGTCGGATGTGAGTGGGCACTCACTATTTCATTTGGGGGGGAGATGAAGCGCATGAGATTTGTGCACACATTGGTGGTTTTTGCACTCGCTACATCCTGTGACAATCAAGGGTGTCAAGATGCTTATCACAGACATGGGGTAGAGGGATGGGGTCCCAGGGAGGGTGAAAAAAACTTTTTGCTATGTAAAAGTTTGGGGGGGTTCTGGTAGGTTTGAGGTTGACTTTGCACCTAGGTAGGGCTCGGCACCGTACGTACCATATATGGTACGGACTAAATGCGGACCTTACGGCGTACGGACGAGGCACCGGCTGGCCTTACGGTACGGTATGGTGTATGGTACGGTCCGAGATACGGTGGGTGGGCCCGCCGCATATCACGGTCTCGGCGATGCCAAGCGTGTGTTTTCGGTCGGATCGACCGTTTCCAGGCGGACACCAGCCACCAATTGCAAAGTTGGGGCCCAGGAAGCTGGAACAGCGGTCCGGTGATCCCATCACCATACGTACGGATACGATACGGACCTGTTGGAGCTCCACAGCACGGACCTTTCGTCCGTACGTACGTCCGTATGCCGTATGGCTACGGATACGGTGCCGAGTCCTACACCTAGGGCTTGGTTTTATAAAAAAAAATTTGGCCTTAACAAACAGTTTGTAGGAACATCTCTGGATGGCTGGGACAAAAGGGACAACCTCAGAAGAGAGGCCGGAGACAGTAAATGCCAGCACCGCTGCATCCAGATGCATCCAAACATGTCGCAAGTTGTGAAACGCACATGTAAGACAGGCCTCATAAGCAGAAATGGCCCAACATGTAGAAGGGTAAGCTATGAGTCCTGCGCGTGCTGTAGGCACTGGCGAGATACTTAAGAGGCATGTGTACACAAGCAGGCTGCAGAAAGGCAGTGATGAAAGAGGTATATATTTGCAGCATTTGTGTATAATAGGGAAGAGAATTTGAGTGTCTGACTCTGCATAGGTTTTGTCTGCTATCACTGTTTGTATTGGAGAACCTCTGTCAGTTTGTTTATTTGTCCTGCCTTTCGTCCTGATATCCTGCCGTCCTGCCCACTGTTAATTTAGCTATATACTTTAGCTGGAACTCCCCCCGTACTTGCGTCCATTAGTTCACTACCCACCCACTTCAAACTCCGAAGTGATCCATTCCTGATCCGAGTGATCTGAGACTCGGCCTGTGTGTTTTGGTGTTAGGCTCCCTGGTTGTGTGTGTTCTTGTGTTTCTGTGCTGATTGTAGTGTGTGTTGTGTTGGAGTTTAGTTCTTGCATTGCAGCAAGGTGCATGTGTCCCGGACCGCTATGTTATCCATGGTGTTCTGGTCCGACCTTGGCTTGGCTTGGTGGCAGTTGAATAAGACTCCACGAGGGATAAAGCTATTTGGTACACCGATCTGTGACAGTGCACGGTGTCCTTCTATTTGGTACACTGATGACTTGATTGACTTTCCGTAATGTGATAAGTGTGACAAGTGTGACAAATCACAGAGAAATCTCTTTTGTTCACTTGAAAATAGAAATATGGTGTAAATTTTGAGAGATCTTATAGATATTAGTGACTTGTGTTCCACCCCAGGTAGTTTTGCTGTTAGCGAGGGACCAGACTGAGATGTAGATAAGGAGCGATGTGTCAATCAATTTCCGATAAGGCCATCAATTTCCATCAACAAGCCATAAACTCTTATTCTAGCACAGTTTTTCAATGTAATAGAGACTATCAGCACTCAGTTCTGTGGAATATTTAAGAGAGATTGAATGGGTTTAAATATTGAATCAATAGGTTTTACCAGCGACTGACAACTGTCACATAACTACAAGGTCCCCACTCTTATATTCTGGATTTAGTAGATCTGAACAATGTTAGTCTACATAAAACTTCAAGTGTTTGAAACATGCTTTGGCTACTATCCATAGGTTGAAGGCAAAAATCTCAAGGACAAATGATCCACCTGTCAAATTTTTAGAATGAAGGTTCCAGGGCAACTAGAAGAACTAGAAAAGAACAAAATGTGTTTATCCTGGCAGCTAATAAGCTTTTATTATCAAAGGAGATCTATGTGTAACACTTGTGACATCAATCACCAACAGTGTACCAAATAGACAATCATCTATTTGGGGCACGGTGTACTGTCACACCTGGTGTACCAAATAGCTTTATCCCGCATGACCGTCACGCTGATACCTCCGAAGGCCAAAGTGTTTCGCACTTTTTGACCCAATCCTGTCCGAATTAGTATCACTGATAGGACCATATTATCAGGGGTCTTGCGACGGATACACCCGCGGATCGCCACATGTGCACAGCCGCTAGCCTGCGACTCGATCGCTTGCAGGCCAAGGCCAGCAATCCACCATTAGATCTGC